CCCTAGATCTATTTTTATAATAAGAAGTTTAAAGGAGGGGGGGGTGGACAGGTTGAGTTTTTGCTAACTGTATAGTCTTGGGAAATTATATAAGCATCATTCACTCAGTTTCCCCATCTATAAGTATAGATAATGATAGCACCTACATCATAAGATTTTTATAAGGGTTAAATAAGTTGACACGTATAAAGGGGCTTGGAAGACTACACAATATATGGTAGATATTCAATAAGTGTTAATCAATGTAATTAGGTTCTAAAATTGAACTCACTTTGTCTCCAGTTAGATTGATTCATATTCTTTTTTCTAATAGCTTTATTTTACATTCATGTGGTGCTGAGGATCAAACCCAGTGCCTCATGCATGCTAGGCGAGGACTCTACCACTGAGCCACAACCCCAGCCCTGACTCATATTCTTGACCATGGTTTATAGCATCATGATCTATTTAGTCTTCTGAAAGAAACTTCATATCATCCTTCTTTTTAAATATTATTTAGTTATTGATGAACCTTTATTTTATTCATTTATTTATATGTGGTGCTGAGAATCCAACCGAGTTCCTCACACATGCTAGGCAAGTGCTCTACCTCTGAGCCACAACCCCAGTCCTGACTCGTATTGTTGACCGTGGTTTATAGCATCATGATCTATTTAGTCTTCTGAAAGAAACTTCATATCATCCTTCTTTAAGTCTCTAATACTATATGTTCATGCCATAAAATATAATATGTATCTGCATATATCTGTCTCTAATAGATTGTGTTTGCCTCAACTAGATTGAAGTTGGGGGTAGAAGGCAAGGGAGGAAGGGAAAGAGCATTCTAGACAAAACAAAAAGTATTAAGGTTCAGAGATAAGAGAATAAGACACAAAGAAGTCTAGTCTTATTGAAAGTATAATTCTAGTATAAAAGTTGAGAGAATCCAGGCATGGTGGTACACACCTGTAATCCCATGAGTTGGGAAGCTGAGGCAGGAGGATAGCAAGTTCAAAGCCAGTCTCAGCAACTTAGCGAGACACTGTTTCAAAATTTAAAAATAAATAAATAAAGAGGACTGGAGATGTGGCCCAGCAATTAAATCTACTGGGTTAGACCCCTGGTACAAAAAAAAAAAAAGTTGAGAGAGTAAGTGACCTGGAGAGAGAGGCTAAATTAAATAAAAAATACATCATAAAAGGAGTATTTGTAGTCAAAGTTTGAAAGAGTTTTCTGGTACATCTATTAAATCAGTGCTGTAGGGTAGTAAGTACCTATACTCCCCTCTCATGGAAGACAAAGACTAAAGCTGAGAGAAGCAAAGACAAGGCCACAGAGAGCAGGGAAGATCAAAAGTCATGCCAGGGCAGAAAAGCTAAGCCACCTGGGGTTGACCAAGAGAAGAGACTACTCAAAAGGTCCGTGAAACCAGTATCTAAAGAACAAATACTATCAGGTATAATTAGGCTTGCGGGTGTCTAACTGAAAGGTCCTTCAGGACAGGAAGGGACAGAATAATCTTTGTGTTCCCAACACAAATTATGGGACTTGGCACACATTAGGTAAGTCCAGGAAATGCCTGCTG